GGGGGTTTAGGCAGCTTTTAGAAAGAAATTATGAATTTGGACCGGTTACTATTTGAAATTGGGAAAAAAATACGTTAGTCGGTGTGTGAGAGGGGAATATTAGAGCAACACCAATGGTGAATATGCGTTTTGACAGATTCTATATTAATATTATAATACAATTTTTTTTTTTTTTTAAACATATAAACCAATCAGAGTGTAAGACCAACTCCATCCGGGATTCTGTTGTGGAGTTCTCTGGATATAAATGCATAAAAATTAAATCAAAATTCATTATTTAAAACAGAACCGGTGCTCTGGTGAGAGGTTAAAGAACCTGAGATAGTCAGTGATGTGTTCGTTTCTTATTGGTAGAAATAAAATGATGAAGGAAAAAAAAACACTCTGGAGTTCTCTCTCTTCTCTTTAAGTTTTTTTTTTCTTTTGCAGAGCAAACATTTCTCTCTTTGAATCTCTATCTTCTCTTTAAGTTTTTTTTTCTTTTGCAGAGCAAACACTTCTCTCTTTTAATCTCTCTCTCACATACAATTTCTCCAAATCAGGAAAGAATTTGATCTCAAATCGACATGGATGGCCATGAGTCAAACCAAGCCGGACTCAAGATCTTCGTGGCGAGATGCTCCAGCTCCACCACGACACTGTTTTTGTAGCTGGATTTCTCAGAACCCAAAGGAGTAAACGATGGAATTGAGGACATTGCTCACACTTGAACTAGGAGGGACATCATTTAAAAAAAAAACATTCAACTAGAGAATTCTATTGTTGGAGGGACAAACTTTTATAAGAATTGAAAGAGGTTCTCAAATAATTAACATACAAAAATTATAATAAAAAAATTTGTGAGAACCAATGATGGGTTCTCTTCGTTGGAGTTGCTCTAACACTTGCTTTTACAGTCTCTCATATACGGATTTTAGAGTTCTGAAGTCAGAGACTGTCTCTCTCTCTTTCTTCAATACTTTTATTTTATTATTTTTTAATTTAGAGAAACTCATCTTTTTCTTACCAATGGAGATGGTCTTAGTGGTTGTTTTGAGGGGAAAATCTTTTTTTTCTCACTCCAAAATTTTAGAATTTGATTTCATTACAATTTTGTAATCCATGAAATTATTACAATACAATTTTCATCTTTACAACTTTTTTTGCGAATTTAATAAGAATAATTTTAATATATTTTACAATTTATAACTTAACATTATCTCTTATACGTATTCCATTTTTAGTGTTCGTAATATATGGAGTACGAACATATGCTACAATATAAACACGAGACGGAGAGTACGAACACAATATATGAAGTACGAACATGGAACATGATTTAGAAACATTATTTAGTCCAATTGATAATCCAAAGAGACAAAAATAAATTTTAAAAAATAAATCTAGAGATTACAACATGAGGATAAGTGCATATTAAATGAAGTACAAACATTATAAGAGAAAGACGAACACCATATGGAAAATACAAACGTCAGAAAGGGAATACAAACACCATAACGGCGTATGAATACCAGAAAGGGAGTAAAAATAAAGAGAACATACTAAAAATATATGAACACTACACAGAGTACAAACATAGATAAGAAAACATAAATTGTTATCGAGTCTGAATCACGAATACTACTCTAGAAGTACAAAACATGTGATAATTTGGAGATCGAACACTAGAAAAAGAGTACGAACATGCTAAAAGATATATGAACACTAAACATGGAGTACGAACATATCAAAAATATGAAGAAAAAAAATCTTTACATATATGCAAAATGTATCAAAACTGGTCTCTATAGATTGGAAAAAAAATGTTTTTAAAATTAATATCATATTAGGATAATTTTTTGGATGAAAATTTGTGATTGATTCAAATTTATAAAAATTTGGAAAAAAGAAAGAAATAGAAAAAGAAAAAAAGGAGAGAGAAAGAGACACTGAACAGAGTTTGGTGGGCTTATCCTCCAATTATAAATAGTAACCCGTGTAAAAACTAATTATTTTGTTAAAACTGTCCAAACTACAAATTAGCTCTAAAGAAAACTAGATGTGATGTGGTATTTTACAGTTTATCCAATTGCATAAGTATATATACCGTACATATGATAACTAACACACATTTCATTTTAAACTATTTTAACATTAATTTAAAGAGAAAATATGCAGTTTAGTCCGTTTTCGAAACTAAAATAGGTAGTTTAGTACGTTTACCATTCAATATTGGAGAAATAGGTGGTGTGTAATAGATTTTTTTTTTGGGTAAGAAGTAATCTTGTTAAAAGACGAAAATAGGGCAGCGTGTTTGTTGGTGTAAGTTGTTTGTTTGGGGGAGAGAGGGAGGTAGTGATGGCATTTGTTTGGGGGAGAGAGGGAGGTGTGTTATATATTTTTTAAAAATTGTTTTTTTTTTTTTACACATTTCCAATCTAATAACTAAAATGTTCACTAGTGTAATTCTTTTGATAATTTTCACAACAAAAAATATTTATGTTTTTTCTCTATAATTTGATATGCATTTTGTTAAATGATTTTAAAATTTATATAATAGTCAATATATATACAATTATATTTGTATATATATTCTTGTATACAATTGTTATACATATATTTTTCTGTACAGATGATAAGTATACAGTATAATCTGTACAATTGTATTTGTCCATATATCCTATTGTACAAATACGTGTAAAATTGTTTACTACATATGAAGTTGTATGGATGTACATATGTACACGTTTTAAGTTGTACGGATTACATCAGTACACTTAGTAAGTTGTACAGATCTAAAATTTATAAAGTTATTTGTAATTATCAAATAAACTCATCGAACAAACTGCATATTATATAATAGAGAAAAAATACATAGATTTTTATATATCTGAAATTTTTAAAAATACAATATTTCATTGACTAGTATTTTAGTTTTTAGATTGAATGGAGAATGTAATAAAAAGGAAAAAAATAATAACAATAATAATTAAAAAATCTGAGAGGAAAGAAAAAATATAATTTGATTAAATATTAATGGCATTGCTGTAAATAAGATGTTTTAGTGAGGATTGACAAGTCAAAGAAATAATAGAGCATAGTAAAAATGTGGATTTTTCTAATTGTAAATAGTAGTTGTACTAATTTTACAATTATGTTTTAAAAACTATATATTTCTCCAATTATCTCTAATTGAAATATAATATGAATGCAAATAATTAGATTGAACTACATAAACTATAAATATGAAATGCAAATAATTTGAGAACAAAATCCATGAATTAGAGATGAATATTTTGAAAATTTTCTCATTTTTTGAATTTTTCCAAATTTCTAATATTTCGAATATTTCGAATTTTCTAATATTTCGAATTTTCCAATTTTCTAAAAAAAATTCATAACATATACATCCAAAGATGTATGGGCGTAGGAAACAATGGAATTTAGGGGCGTCCGGGTCCTTTACCTTCCATGTTTACAGGTTATCGATGCTTCATAGATGGATATTGGAAGGCTATAGATGAGTATGCAGATTCGGGATGGTTTTGTCAGCGCGCGCATGATTCTTCCACAAAAGATGGGAGCCTTCGATCTCCGCCGAAGTCTTTCTGCTCTTCATACTGAATTTCATAGATGCTATATTTCTTACCGACTGTTAAGATTTGGTGAAGATGGTGTCTTCTCCTACCGAGTGGCCGACGTTCTCTGTTTACTTGGATGATATCAAGATTGATAGGGAAGAATTCTCAACTTTATCTTTATCTCTTATTCCTGGAAATTTGAATGTGAAAGCGGATTATTTGGCACGAAAAGTTTGTTCCATTCCGCATATTATCAAGTATGTAAACAATTGTCTTTTGAATTGGCTCATGTGAGCTAATCCTAGTTATTTGATGATAATATATACACCCAAATACTTAATTATGTATTATAGTAATTAAGGATTTGTTTAAGTTTATGTGGCTCCATTGGTGCTTTTTATCTACCTTTTTTTTCCTTTGAAGATAATTATTTTAATGTTCTGAACTAAATTTTGTTTTAATGGTTTTTCCATCAATTAGTATATCTTAAATTTTAAAAAAATTATAATTAAGTCACGGGTCAAGAGATCAGAATTTGAACAAATAAATTTTCCAAATTTTAAATATCAAATACTAGGTAGAATGCGTGAACATAAAATTTAGATAGTTAATTTAAGTTTTGATTTTCATATTTATTTTAAATATAGAGACATGAATAACAGGTCAAAGAACATCTTAATCGATAAAAACTTTTTTAATTATTTTCGCTAAATTATGGGACAAGATATTTAAGTAACTTGATGGTGTTATAAAATCTGGATAACTAATTTAGATTTATATAAAATATATGGCATGCCGTGTTATGGCAGGAAATATCTGCTTCAACGTCACGAATCGAGCGTCGGGTAAGAGTAGGTCCACGGGCCGAGAGAGGACGTGGAGTTCACTGAAGATGTGACGGTCGGGGTTTTGTAAAAATAAAAAATATTATAATATATTATCCTTGCTGTAACACGAGTTATGTCTATTGACGAAACATAATTGCATGTGCTGAAGCACTACCTAAATTATAGTAAATGAGATCTTTGGAGAGTGCTTTATATCACACTATCCAGTTAATAAACCAAATAGGTAAAAACATATAACCAAAAACAACCGATCCACTTGAAATTTTTGATAATTCTTGATAAAAAATTAAAAAAAATTTTTAACCTTTAATTTCTTAATTATTTAACTTAAAATGATTTACCTTAAATTATTAAATATTGAGATCATAAATATTTTTCTATAAATAGACTTTTGACTTTTTTGTCAACAACAGATTTTTGGCTGTATATAGCATATTTCTATGAATTTGCTTAAAAATATATCTTTTCCAAAAATTTATTGGTAGCAAATCTGAAAGAAGCATTGTGGACAAAATAAAATCTCGGGTTATTAAATTAAAATCTTTTAAAGAACTATAAAAACTATAGAACATATTGTCTAATTAATAGAAATAAAACTAAAAGAAATATATAATGTGTAGCACCAAAATCTCTCTCACCTTTTTTCTTGTAATAATATTGACATTTTCATTATCCAACAACAATGTTTTAGCCGCTTCAGGTATGATATTTTTATAAGAAGAATTATCTTCTATCTTCATATTATGATGTAACTAATTTAGATAATTTTAAGACGAAGAGAAAATATTTTAATTTTTCAAAATATAGAATCAAGAAAAAAGTGTATAAAATGCTAAACATATAATAAATAATATGATTTTATTGTGGGTTGTATGTGTAGGACCAAATTGTTATGCTAAGTGTGCTATAGGATATTATGAAGATCATGAATGCATCATTGACTGTCAGAAATCTGGATACGATTATGGAGGTTGTATTCCAAATCAGAAATCTGGAAAATGTTGTTGCACTAGAGAATAAAAATCGACAAATTTACTTATTATTGATCATTTAAGCGATGAATTATAATTTTACTAGCTTTTCTCTTGTTGGTTTTCAATTATAATTGGTAAATTTATCGAAATAAAAATTATTTTACTATATGATATTGCCTTTTTAAGAACATATATCAAATAAACATACATTTTATTTAGAGAAATTTCCTTGGATAACACATTTTAAGTTTTTTTCCAAAAAGATTACAATTTGTTTTTCATTCCAAAAATACCGCAAAAATTTTTTTTTTCAAAAAATACCATAAAACAAAAATCTGGTTTTGAAGGTGTATAATTTTTTATTATATTTGGGTTGACTATTTATATTTAGGGTATAGTTTTTAGGGGTAGGATCTAGTGTTTAAAATTTAGAAATTATTTTTGAATGATAAAAATGTTAGATTTAATTTTGTGGTATTTTTGTAATAAAATGTAGTTTAGTGGTATTTTAGGAAAATAAAACTCATAATAGTATGTTTTGGAAAATACTTATTTTAGTGGTATTTAAGAGAATTCCCCTTTTATGTCTCAAAAATTCTCTTAAATAAATTGAATATATTATTTATTCTGTCACTGTGTTTTTTTGTCAATATTTAATATGGAGTATTAATTTGGGTTCATTGCTCTTTTTCAATCTTTTATTAATTTCCACAATAATAGAAAATATAATTATCAGGATGGAAAAAATACTCATTAAATATGAAATTTTTTGTTTACAAATTCTAAATTCTTAACTAGATGGTAATTAGTATTATATTAGAAACACTTAGTAATAATAGATGGATACAATAAAGTTACAAATATTTATAATAGTAGGAATACACTGAGAAATAAATAAAAAAACTTGAAAACAATAACTGTATTTTGGGGATCAACTTGGCACTTGGCAGCCATATTCTCCAAAACTTGAATATTTTAAAAATTATTTTAAATATACATATTTTAAAGAAAAAAAATAATATAGTTTGAAAATTATATGTACATATGCACCCGCAAACACTTAGGTATTTCTTTTATAATAGTTAAGGATGTGTTTTATCTTATTAATGGCTATTAGTGATAAAATAATATGAATAGTTTTTAAACTTTCACTATTTCAAGGTGGCTCCAACGGTGCTTAGAAGATAAATACTTTAATGTTTTGAACTGATTTTGTGGGCTTTCCATTCATATATCTTAAGCTAATAAATGTTTCTCCTTTTTGTAAAACCTTTTCCAATACCTTGTAATATATTTTTTAAAAGGCTTTATAAGGATTTTAAAAGGTTGTATAAAAATTAAAAAATTAAAAAATTAAAAAATTACAAGGCTTTTAAAAGGTATTTAAAATGTTTTTAAATGTAGGAAAATGTTTACAAGACTTTTTAAAAAGTTTTTAAAGTTATTTACAAGGTTATAATTCACTAATTCACAGTGTCTTAATTTCAAAGTTTCTAATAGGTTAAAAAAAACAGGTTACAAGATAATAAAAATTGTAATAATTACAGTTTAAGGAGCCATACAACAGCCCAAATACATGTAGTAGGTCTCTAGTCATTGAATTAATATTTGTATTAATACGATGTCGTTTCAACTCGACCACCCTATAAATACAGAATAAATCCCATTTAGTGCCATCCATCAGCTACAAATCGTAAGTCACGCTCCTTGAACAATCCGCCATCTTTCTCCATCAGATCGATAATGGCGACAAGTTTCTGCTCCTCAATCTCCATGCAAGCTCGTGTCTCGGTACATGTCTCTCTCTCTTCTTGTTCTTTGTGCTAGTTTATATCAATGAAGAATTCATAACATCTCCTCATTGATATATCTTTGTCTTTGGTTGATGCATGGTGAAAACAGGCTACAAGAACAAGGTTTTGTCTTCAGAAACAGGTTTTAGTTTCTAACAATGGAAAGAGTAATAATAATAATCTCTCCTTCAGCTTAAGACGTTCGATGCCTGCTCGTCTCGCGGTATCTTGTGCAGTACGTTGGTTTAAATTCCACTTTTTTTAGTTGAGTTCTTGATAGTTTTGTATCCAAAGAGACTAACTAAAAGGGGTTTCTTATGTGTGCTTCAAGGCTAAGCAAGAGACAGTGGAGAAAGTATCTGAGATTGTGAAGAAGCAATTGTCGCTTACCGATGATCAAAAAGTCACTGCGGGAACCAAATTTACCGAGCTTGGAGCTGATTCTCTTGACACGGTATGGAAGCCACTCATTGTTTCTTTTTGTCTCAAAACGCATTGGCCATCCATCAACAAACTGTTCTCTGTCTGCAGGTTGAGATAGTGATGGGTTTGGAGGAAGAGTTTGGGATAACAATGGCGGAAGAGAGAGCAAAGGAGATTGCAACAGTCCAACAGGCTGCTGAACTCATCGAAGAACTCGTCCAAGAGAAGACCACTTAATTTAAGGAAACAACCAAATGCTTTGTCTTTGTTACTGTCATTTGCGTCATGCTCTGTTGTATGTCTTTGCCCTAGTTAAGAGTGTGTCATGCTCTGTTGTATTGTGTCAATCTTAAAACTTTCTTTTAGATTACCAGTTTAAGAACAGAGAGATTCACAAGAAACTTGAATTTATAAAAGAGTACGAAACATGAGGTACAAGTACAGACACACACAAGACTAGACCCTAAAGTGGCCATGACTCCTAAGAGATCCTACCCAACATGTATTTACAGATTCAGGAAGATGTTTGTTACCCTAGTTCTATTCCCAATCAGAATCGAAAAATCCAGCATCCTTCATCTCTGAGTAGTATACATTCTCCAAGTTCAGATCTTCCTCCTGCAGCAAATCCATTTGCATTTTAGAGAGAGAGAGAGAGAGAGAGTTAAAGAAAGAGACAGAGCGAGATAAGGTGATGATGATGAGGCCTTTTACCTGGAAAAAGTCTGCGAGAAAAGTAATGTAAAGAAGAGGAAGGTATAACGCGTGGTAGGAAACACTAGTGATCCCATACAACCTGCAAGTATTTTGAGTTCAAGGGCAGAGAAAAGCTGAAGATAAGACAATATTCAGTGTTGGGATGGTTACCAGAATCCAAACTGTGCGCTGTTTGCAGTAAACACAGATGCTACTAAGTATAGTCCGTATAACGCTAACATGATGCTTATGTAATTGTAGAATGCAGGCCTTGCTGTTAAAAACAAGAAGATGCGAATGATTAGAAATAAAAAGAATCCAGTGAACGCTATAATGGGATAGTGTGACAATGAAAATTATAGAAGCAACTTACCAGGCAATTTTTCTCTCCACCTAGAGTTGTACATTAAGAATATCATCCCATAAACGCCAGTGAGTAGAAGCTTATGGATAATCCATAATCCCCATTTGAACGTCTTTCCATTTTCATTGTTGTCAATAAACAATGGCACACCAAATCCAAAGAGAAAAATTGCCTGAAGATAGGGCGAAACTCCGTAAGGATTACAGAAGTGGTTAGGCCTAAACTTATATCAGAAAGTTTGGCATATCCAAATGAAAGATCCTAAACTTGTCCTTTCACCATATCTAAGATTTGCTCAGAAGGTAGAAAAGTAGACAAAGTAGTTATGTGTAGTAGTTATGAAGAAGATTGATACCTTGAAAAGCAAATCGAGAGCAATAATAAACCCCGAGATAAGGAATGTTCTAGTTAATGCTTCTGAACCACTCGCATAGTTTCCTTGGAAGAGAAAAGCCACTAAGCTTACTTCCAGAAACAACATTCCAGATGTTGTGCACAAAGTTAATAGATTCCAAACAACTTCTTTCCCAGGAGTACATTCCCAACCCTATATAACACGTAAAAATAAATCAAATCAAAAGCTAAACCTGAAATAGGTAAATGGATACAAGGATGAGTATCTCATTCCCATAAACAGAGATAACAGTTACAATCTTCTTAACAAAACACATCTTATACCAATCCAGAAACACTACATACTATGATTTCTAATTAAAGTATAACCAAAAAGGTTTCTAATTTTAGTTCCATTGAGCCTAGCATAGTCTTAAAAATACTCATCATTCAATCAAAGCGCTGATCTTTTCGAATTTCACAGAGCCTAGAATACTCTTCACTCTTCATAATACTCATTACTCAATCAAAGTTTTGATCTTTCTAAGAATTTGAGTCTCCATGGGCCTAAATAGTCTTAATATATTCAAACTAAATCAAAATCAAGACACTTGGTGGATGCTAAACATGGAGTAGGTAAATGGGAGACAAGGAACATATCCCCATTTCCATAAACAGCAGAGACTACAGTTATAATCTTCCTAACAAATAACATCTTACTTCAATCCATTAACATGTATCCCTCCCAAAGTACTAGGCTTCAATTCAACTTAATGCCCAAAAAGTTTCTAAATTTGAGATTCAGAGAGCCTTAATATACTCATTATTCAATCAAAGTTTTGATCTTTCTAACACATTCTTCAGAATTTGAGTTCCCCAGAGCCTAAACAGTCTCAACAATCTCAACTCATTCAATCAAAAGTAATGATCTTTAAATCAAAACAAACCTGGAGACAGCACCAAACAAGATTGAGCAAGCTAACAAGCCAAAGACAACCATAATAAGCGATCATTATATAAGATCTCCGATTCGAGAGCTTAGACAAGCTCTTCTTCGCCTCGTAAGCTAAGTAAGCGACAAAGAAGAGAGAAGCCGCAACAAGAACCGTGTTATGTAAGAACCCATGACATTTATCGACCCATCCATATCCATTGGCCGTCGAATTAGTGTTTAGCTGTGAAATCGAAAATGGTGACTCTGCAATTTCTTCATGAACTCGCATCTCATCAATGGTTTACGAATCAGAGAAGAGAGACAGAGAAGGAGCGAGCGAAACTGGATTTGGAAATTTGGATACCTAATAAATGATTTCTGACCAAATGCAAAGTTTGAGGTGGAAATTAGTAAATATAAGATAGTTATTGGGTCATATTGTAATTAAAGTAACATATTGGGGAGGGAAATATAATACGAGAGTTTTAAGAACGTGTTTGGAATAAACCACTAACTAAATAATTGATCAAATAGACCCTCCACAGTCCACTCCCTCAATTAGAACTATAGTACGTACACTAGATGAGGACGTCCCTTTGAAAAAAAAAAAAAAGTTTAGGACATCTTTTGGACAGGTTATTTATGTTCAAAATAAAACTCAAATTAAAATTTTATTATAAGAAATCAAAAAATTTCTAGAAAAACTTATATAATTGTTTTAGTTAGTAAATGATTATTTTTTCTTATCTAACAAAATAATTTACATATAAGTTATTTAATTATATAAAACATAGTTTTCAAAGTTACTAACTCATGTGGACATGTGTCAATTAAACAGAATTTGTCGCCACATATCATATATGATTTTATTAATATTTAGATAACATGTGGTGTCTTGCGAGACAGTTTTTATTTTTAATTTTAATCACATAATATCATATTTTAATATTTTAAAAAAATATTATGAAAATTATATAACTTTAACTTGTATTTTTTTCAAAAAAAAAAAGGATTTATACAAATATAGATTTAGTTGATGTTTGTTGTATGTCCAAATAAAATTTTATTATGTGAATTTTGATATAATATTAGTAGTTGTAATTTTTCATAATATATTATAAGTTAATTTTTTTGGGGCAAAATATTGCAAGTTAATATAGTTCCGGTTTCACATATAAGTGGTGATGAGATGGGTTAGAATTAAAAATAATTTAACCCATTATCCATATACTTATTGAAGTCTTCTTACTCATATTCCTAAATATACAAGCCTATACTATATGATAATAAACAAAGTAATTAAGAGATGTAAAAAAAAAACAAAAAGTAATCAAGAGATGGATAAGGTAACTTACAAGTGACCGAATCTTATCGTACATTGGAGGAGCTGAGAGCTCTCCAAGTAAGTGTAATTAAGCAGTACGACATTCCCAATTGTTAAAGCGACCCCAAAAACATGTCTACCGTTAGCATATGTGTTCCAATAATGCTCGTTTACAAGCTTATCACATCTGAGGCGAAACAAACCGCTTCAATCGAAGTTACTTGTGAAAGAGAAATGAGATAATATAACTTGTCTCATTCCAAACTAAAAATATATTCATATTTATATAAACTCAACCCACTCCATCATATGAATTATCTCCTAGTAAAATGTGTGATCAAATACAACTTATTAATTTTACCAGCCCACATTAATTTAATTTCATCAATCCGTCGATGTAAAACATTAAACACATATTTTCATATATGAAGTAATATATCTCCGTTTAAAATTAATTAAATGACAACATATGCATAACTATATATACGTATTTGTAAATCAAATATATTGTATGAAATATCTTATATAATAATTTCAAATAATTTGAAAATGAAATCAAAGAAATATGATGATAGTACCATAATATCTAATCTTAACAAATCTTAACAAATCTTCTAAATATACTATATTTATTGGGTCTCATTATAACTAAAAGTAAGACACTAGGGAGGGAAAATATAATACAAAACTCTTAAGAACATGTCGAAGAAACCACTAACTAAATAATTGATCAAATAGATCCTCCACAGACCACAGTTCGCTCCTTAGAAATCATAGCATTATAGTACATCTTAAGTCAAGTAACTTCATGAATTGTATAGCTAAACTTATACCTATAGTCAACTATAGTCAAACTTGTTAACTTCACATAATGATGACGTTAACTAAGGGTGCAAATGGTTGCACAATTTAAGAAGTTGAAGAGTTTGAAAAATATTATTCAACTAATTTTTACTATTTTAGTTGAAGAGGTTGAAAAAATTATTCAACCCATTCAACTTAACAATTTGAAAAAATAAAGGCTACAAATGGTTGCACAAAATTGAATGGGTTGGAAATACTAAGTTGACTAAAATTGGATTGAATGTCATTCAACTCATTTATCTTCATAATTGTAGATGAACAAGTTGAACATTTTTCCTTAAATAGTTTAATTTTTCAGTTTTTAGGTTGAATGGGTTGAATAATTTTTTCAATCTCTTCAACTCAAATGGTAAAAATTGGCTGAATAGTATCTTTCAACTTTTTCTCGATCTCTTAAATTGTGCAACCATTTGCACCCAAACTAATTATACATGGAATTTGTTCAACTTATTTTTTTGCTAACTTGTTCATCTTTGTGCAACCATTTCCACCGTAAATACAATACTATTAGATCTAATTCTCTACCCATCCTGACAAACAATTAAGCACTTGTCGTTGACTGTATTTTACTATTTAGTGAGAAACAAAAAAATGGGAAATCGCACTGCTAGTAAATAAGAAACAAACAAAAGAAGAGAATTTGAACATTTATTTCACATAAGCAATAAAGACAAAGTTGGTAGCGAATGTATATGCAGATATAGTTTGTACGTAGAGAAACTGCTTGAAACATCATATGTAATCTGTCGAGCTGTGGGTTCAATTTAATTTATCTATGGAACTGTCCATGTCACGACTCGGTCCTGCCCTTGTTGAGAGTTCAGACACCAAACACTGCTTTAATTCATTAACAACTTGGGACATGGTTGGTCTTTCCGAGGAAGATGGATTTAGGCAAGCCATGGCTAACTCAACATTATTGCCTTGCAGAGCCAGAATTACAGTTTCTGAGTCTTGGATCCATGATGGTGCTTATGTCTCCATTGGTAAGCTTTAGTCCTTCCCATCCTCCAATATGATGCTTTTCACGCTTTGGTCAACCACGGCTCGTTGCCTGTTTGCAGCCCAACTTAAATTGTTCTCATGCATCGTTTGTTCCATGACCTGCTTAGAGTTCATCAAGAACGTAATGCATGATGGTCAGTATATACGTATTATTTATGGAACTAGCTAACATGATGATACCATGTATATATAGATTTTACAGAATAAGTATAGTATACTTATATATAATACAAATTAAATATTCCCCAAAAACCCTTGTCTTCTTTGAATACAATGCCCTTGATTTATTTGAATACGAGTCTCTAATCTAATATCTGTCCTACCAATACTGATAATCTAGCAGCTTTAGTACCAAAAATAATGAGTTCTTTTTCTTTTGACTTTAGTTTTGGTTTTTAATTATGTGCGATCAGAGTATTAACAGAAAAATTACATTTGCTTACCACGTACGTACGTATAAACGCAGATTGAGACTCTGAGAGTATCAATAGTTGATAGTTATAGAAATGATCCTTTATATTATATGACACATTGCAAAGACTTAGTTATAGGTCTAAAGTTTTTCATGTCAACATGGATGTTGTTATGTATGCTTTGTCAGAATGCATACATAACAAAGACTATCTCTAGTTAGGAGGTTTACATTGATCGCATAATCCCAATTCAAGATTTTTTCATATTGTTGAGTTAGAGAAAAATCATATCTTATTAATATTATACGAATTCATGCAAATGGTCCTTTTTATATAAACCTTGAGACTTTAAGTGTACATGTGAATCTTCTAAGAAATATATTTTATTACGCATTTTTGCATGTGATTTGTGCTAAAAAAAAAAGATCAAACTTACATAATCATTCACAAACTTATTATTTATTAGTTTTATAAAAACGTACTAATGTACTAGTAATAGACTTTTAGAGTGTTCTTAACTTTAAGATTTGTTAAGAACTATGATCGGATCCGCGCTACAGCGCGGAGAAAATATCTCAGTTTTTTTTTTTATGTTTCACCCTAAATTACACTATGCAAGATTAATTGTTGGTGTTGCATTTATATTTGTTTAATAAATTTTTGTAAAAACATAAAAAGGTAGCTAGTATCTGAGAAAACTTAACTAATATATAGGTGATTATATAGATTTAAGATTTTCCAGAAAATGTTTTTTGTGAGTCAAAATAATATAAATCCGTAGTAAGGGTTTAGCGGATGGGTAACCCGGTTGTCAATTTTACTTATATCATACGGTTCATGGAGTTTTTATTTTGACCCGATTTTAAATAAATTTTCAAACCGATCACTAATTAGGTTTACATTCAACCTAGATACGCCAACATGTCAATCTAAAATTCCTAGTGAAACAATTATTATTTTAAAGCTTCGTAAGCTTAGTAAATCCAAACCAATATAAATATAAATTTGTATTATAAATTATAAATGTTATAATCCAAACCAAAAAAAATCGACAACTTACTTGGCTATTTCCTCGAGTTACTAATATAACTCCGACGTCAGAGTTAAACTTGTAAAGCCGGAGATGGCCGAGACGAGATGTCATATCTATACTAATGGTTCTAGCTTGTTCTAGTTTTACTAGCAAATCTATACTCCTAATTAGACTCCGACTCAAGAAAGATGTTGTCTAGAGAAAATTATTATAGTCTATATATTTATTTATTTTTGGTTTCTATTATAGTTTCCTGTTTTATTATAATTTCCTATTACAACTAAAAATACTAAAGGAAATATCTAATTAGTTGTTACAATCTTGAGATCAGAAGCCACCACATATAACCAAAATTTCTAGCTAGCCTCTATGTCTCATGAACTCTTACCACTTATATGAACCATACACTAGAAGATTCATGTGGTAACCATATATCTAACGAGATAAAGATTAGTTTTGGTGTTGGACAACAAGAATGGATTCAAGGGAACTAATCTTTGCATGTCCTATATATATATAGTAGTCATCTTGTTTAGGTCAACTAAACTATACATATATATGTGGGACTAAAGAGATGTCTCGATCACAATACTTTCACTTCGTTGAACATGAGTATGCATCTTTGACTGTTGTCCTCTTTCATTATTTTGTCTTTTTATTGTTCTATATTGAGAATTTGAGAGAACTGTCTTATTGACGAGTCACAATCGAGTTGTGTGCATGTGACCAAAGTGGCAGAAGGCTTTTTCAAAAGTAAAAGAAAACAAAACCATAGAGTTGACATAAATCTCAAACAAGTGTCAAATGCATCCAAGTGTTATATAATGTTTATTTGGAACTTTTCAGTTCTCATGTTAAATGATTTGGCACACCATCCAAGCCAATATTTTCAGCCTCTTTTTAATTTTGGTCAGGATTTTGTTATGAGTGTGACGTTTTAACTTTTAAACATAATAACTTTTGGGTTATTAAGCTAGATGATCATATGGAGAATCATAATTTGCCAAAGAACATGCCGTAGTTAAACGGTAAATAAGTAATAATTGTTGCGATTTGAATTCTTAGTGTGATATCGAATAAACGAAGATAAATACTCTTGGATACCATAATTTAAGTTTTTGTTTCAATATCATAATTTTTTATTCTTTCAAAAATATTGCAAAAGTTTTATTTTTTTTCTAAAAATACCAAAAGCATAAAAAAAATCGAATTTTGAAGATGTAGATTTTTTTATGTTGGATTGACTATTTACATTTAGAGTATAGTGTCTAGGGTAGGATTTTTAATTAGGATTTAAAAATTAGCTTTTGAATGTTTAAATATTAAGTTTTAATTTTGTGGGATTTTTGAGAAAAATTTATATTTTAGTGATATTTTTAGGAAAAGTACACATTTTAGTGGTATTTAAGAGAATTTCTCTAGTTAAATTTAATAAATTAATTTCTTATTAATTTTTGGCGGGAAAACACAATTATCCGATTTTACAGTTTTAGCGGAAAAACGCAACGCGGCAATTTTTCCACCTTTTCTTGAATTTTATTGTATGGTCAGAAAAACACAATTTTATGATTTCACGATTTTGCCGCAAAAAGCGTAATTCTCCGTTTTTACGGTTTTGGTGGGAAAACACATTCGAAACTTTTCCGCAAAATTTTTGATTATATTGTATTGGCAGAAAAACAAAATTTTACGATTTTACTGTTTTGGCGTAAAAATATAATTATTATATTAACGGTTTTGGCGAGAAAACACAATTTCACAATTTTCTGCCAAAATTGTTATTTTACTGTATTAATTGGATTTTTAGTTTTGGTGTATAACAATATTCCATAATTTTCCCACCACAATTTTGAAGTCAAAGTTTAGTCATAATTAAATGTAATTCACAATATTTTTGTGATTTTTGATAAGAGACCACAATTTCTAAAGAAAAAAAAAAGGTTGTCCATGAACTTGATCTATTTTTTTAAATAGGTTTTTATTGTACATGCACATTTTTTGAACCATTGTGGATCGCCCAATTTGAGTCTTTGGACACGCCTACTGGTCTATGGACACCATTTGACACCTCTAATGATGTGAATGTGTTTACTTTATGTTTCTTGTTGGACTTCGTTTGGTAGCGACTGCACCAGGAAGGGCATGTAAACATCTATGTTTGCTGTAGTTTGTGGTGTTAAGTGAATTATCTTGAACACAAGTGTTCTTCAATGATTGCTTGTGGTTTTAGTTTTAAATTGATTTGGTAATAGAGTGATTATTATTTTTTGGGAATGTGGCAATGTAATTGAAATTTCCCGTGCAACTTTTACTTAACTCTTGAGAAACTTGAGATTGATTATACCAAGAACACCCCTCTCCATATTCTAACAGTTGAATCACAAGATTGATTATATTAGTTTCTTGTATTGTAAAGTATAAATATTTGATGTTACAACTTACAAGATGGTTAATTATAAGGCTCTCTCCAAATCCTCAGGCCAAGTATATGTGTTGCTCTAGTTAGACCAAATATTCAAGAACCAAAAACAATGCATATTCCATCCATTGTCTAACGAAGTCTCAGTTTGTTAGTACTTCATTATAGACTTTTCTAAGTATGGTCAAAGTTCATGCTAATTTACAATGTTGTTTAACATGCTACAAAATAATACAACCCATTTAACTCTATATCCTAATTCTTCATAGAAAAAGATTATATATCTTAACTAAATAAGATAAATTCAAATCAATACCAAATCTCATAATTCTTAAATTGAAAGGAATAAACCAAAGCGATAAGATCAACCACGTGGAGTGGATCATCTTTGCTTTACATATTTTTCTTCATATTTTATCTTTGCTTTACATCGACTTATATAGAAAGATTATATCGAGCTATATAGGAAAATAAGTAAATAAGATAAACTCGTTGACCAAAAAAAAAGAAAGATAAACTCAAATCAATACCAAATCTCATAATTTCCAAAATTAAAAGGAATAAACCCAAAACGATAAGATCGACCACGTGGATTAGATTATCTTACACTCTCAAACTTCATGATTCGGTCCACCATTGTTCATATTTGTTATTATCATAATTTCATATTATCATATATGTTGGTTAATAATTTGTCATTACTACACATATAAGTATTTACTAAATTCTTTTATTTTTTTGTGGGATTTGAACAAATAACATATCATATTAAGAAAATATGTAAATATATATATATTTGTTAAACTAATTATGCAGTATCCATCTTGAAAACATGTATTATAATTTCAGTATTCATATAAATTTTTTTGATAAATATATATACAGATAAATAACAAATTAAACCTTACACCATTTTACAATATCATTATTAGACATAAAAGATCAACATAAAATTATTTGCAGTTAAACATGTGTTAAAAAAAAAAAATTATTTGCAGTTAATAATTTTTTTTGCAATTTTGTTTTGGGACAAAATTTGCTGTTTATACTTGAAAATAAATAAAAATGAAAAAATTGAAAGCTAAAAGTTAAAATTAAAATATTTGTGTTATTTTTTTTTCCAAACATTTACATAATTTTGATTTGACATATTCAGAAAGACAAGCATGTTATCCCATATGACATGTCAGACGCAAAGTTTTATATTTGTTTTTTTAATTTTGTAAATTTTGACGGCAAAAAAGCCAAAGTAATTAATACTATTAATTATGTAACGATTAATAACGATTAGCAACGATTAAACTTTACAGGCAGTTTAGGTTATTTAATAAAATTAAATTCGGACCGAGACAAAATTTAAGCAGAGATTAATTCTGTTTTTAAACCACACTTTTGTTAGTAATTAATAAATAAAGGACATAATTAATTTAATTTTCAGGTCTCTTTCACAAAACGGCGAAAATAAGGAAGACACACAGTTAAAAGCACTCGTTGTACCCAAAACACAAAGGTCTCTTTTTTTTTTTTTTTTTCTCTTCTCTTCTTCTCTTCTCTTTCGCTTTAGGGTTTGATTCTTTGATTCTCTTCCTTCGCTGCCACTCATTTGCTTCTCTGAATCGTGACTTCGACTCCTTCGTTGTGTTCTGGTTGTTTCAAACCCTAATTCTCTGTTTTGTCGCTGGTTCTGTCCGGAGACGTCGCAGACCAAAGGTATGGTCTTTTTTTCTCTGTTTTTGTTACTTTGGTTTTGTTGTCTCTGTTGTTAGTTATTCTCTGGCTCGGAATCTGTGTAAAAGGAGAGAGCTTTATCGAAGTTGATGGTGATTTTGAGTTTTTTTCTCTTGTGGGTTTTTTGTTTTTTGAAGTTTTGAAAGATCTCTTCCGTGGAGTTGAAGGAATTGAGAGTGATGGAGGAAGTTAAGTTGGAAGAAGAGGTAATGCTTGTTGATGTGAAGAAAGAGAATCTTCGTAAAACGATGGAGAAGATTCAGTCTCAAGCCTCTGATATACTTATCTTGAATCTTCAGTGGTGTGATTTGGAGGAACATTTAAAATCAGTTGGGGAGAAAATAGAGAGTAGGTTTAAGGAATTGGTGTTGAAGGAGGTTGAGTTGGAGAATCGAAGTTTTGCTCTTGAAGAAAGGGGTAAAGTGATTGATGCAGCGGAAGCTGAGGTGATTGATTTAGAGATGAAAGCTAATGGCTTTAGGAGTGAAATTGAAGAGAAAAGAGAGGAATTGGGTTTTCTTAGGAAGTCTTTGGAAGAGTGTAGTGTTGAGCACAGGTCAAAGACAGGTCAAGTCAATGAGTTGGTTGAATTGTTGAGAAAGACTCAGGTTGATCTTGATTTGCAGGGGGGAAAGTTAAGTCGGATGGTGACTGATGTTGAGAGATATCGTGTTGAGGTTAACGTAGAGAAGGAGCATTTGGTTAGGACTAGAAATGACAGGAGAGAAGTGGAAGTGGAGTTAGAGAGAAAGAAGAAAGCTCTCAAATTGGTTGTGGAGAAAACTGCTGAATGTGATAAGATGTTTGAGACACGGTCCTCGGAACTAATAAAGACTGAGAGTGAGGTTGAGTTGAAAACGGAACAGTTACAACGGATGAATGTTGATCTTGAGAGATATCGTGTTGAGGTCAGAGCAGAGAAGGAGCGTTTGGGTAAGGCTCAAACTAATAGAAGAGCATTGGAAGAGGAAATAGAGAGAAAGACTAAAGATCTCAGATTGGTTGTGGATGAAATTGCTAAATGTGAGAAGCTGTTTGAGACACGGACTTCCGAACTGATAAAGACTCAGAGGGAGGTTGAATTGAAAGAGAAACAATTAGAACAGATGAATATTGATCTTCAGAGGCATCGTGGCGAGATCAGCACAGAGATGGAACATCTGGATAGGAGTCAAACTCGCAATAGAGAGTTGGAGGAGGAAATAGAGAGGAAGAAAAAAGATCTTACAGCGGTTCTCGATAAAATTGCTGAGTATGGCAAGCACCTTCAGTCGATGGAAGAGCGACTGGCTTCTCAGCAGAAGCTGCTTGAGACACGGTCTCTGGAACTTGATTCTAAAAGGAAAGAGTTGGACGGACTGAGTCTGGACCTTGACCTGGCTAACTCACTAAATAACGAGATGAAAGAGATATGTGTACAGATTACATCAAAGGGTAAGGAGTTGGAGGAGATTAAAAGGCTGATTCAGGAACGGACTGGTCACAATGAATCAATCAAGTTACTGCTCGAGGAACACAGTGAAGAACTTGCTTCTAAAGAGAAGAGACATGATGAAATAACGGAGGATATTCATAAACTAACTTTAGAGATTGTCTCCAAAGAGAAAACTATCCAGCAACTCTCTGAGAAACAACATTCAAAACAGAAAAAGCTGGATTCAACTGAAAAACATCTAGAAAAATCCACTGCAGAATTTGTTTTAAAGGAAACAGAACTATGCGCTGTGAAGGATGCATACAGAGAGTGTCTCCAAAACTGGGAAATGAAAGAGAAAGAGTTAAAGTCGTTACAAGAAGAGTTTAAAAAGATTCAAGACGACTTGAAAAGCTTTGAAACTAAAGATGCAGAGCAAGTCAAATTAAAAGCATCATTGATAGAGCGTGAAAAAGAACTTGGAATTAAGGAGAAGCAAGTTCGTGTTCGCTCAGAAAAGATTGAACTGAAAGAGAAAGAGCTTGATGCTCGGGAGGAAAGGATCGATAAAAAAGATGAGGAACTGAAATCCACAAAAGATAGCTTGGCTAAATGTACTAAAAATTTTGATCTGGAAGTAAAGAGATTGGCTAACTTTTGTCAACAAAACAACATGGTACGGGACGCTGGTGTATGTGACGAGAAAACTTTGCAATTACTCTTACATGGGCACCTGAAGAAATGTCATCAGCTTCACCTTGATGTTTTGAATGCTCTAAAAGCCTCTTCTGACCCGGCAAAGCTTGTGTTAGTCACAATACAAGAGCTTCATAAAAAGATGGCAGTAACGAAGCTTGAACCAGATAGTGTTAGAAGGAGTAGCATTTGCCTGCTGGAATGCTTAATGGATATGGCACCAGAACCCAAGACTGACGTACAAGGAGAAGCTGTAAAATCAGCCACTGAATGGAAGAACACAACACTGATCAAGGCAGAGAATCCAGTGGCGGTTTTGGGGTTTCTGCACTTTCTAGCTGCATTCAGTTTGGCATACACTTTTGATGCTGACAAAGTCCAAAATCTGTTTGATGCCGCCTTTCTTCGCCAATACGCTCCAAGTCTGTGCAAGGCTCTTGGGGTATCATCTCTAGCACCTGGTAAGTTTTCTCAGTAAAAAGATTTACTCGTCTCTTTCTCTTCAAGTAGCATAAAGATTCTTCTATGACTTTTTTTTTGATATGCCATTAAAAGTATTCCTTAAAACCAGATCCCACATAGTCGAGATATTTAATTCTGCTACAAGCAAACAATACTAAAACTTTAGACCATTAAGAAATAGCAGTTAAGTTCTACTTTGTAGTCTTGTGATATTTTTTGAATTTTTTTTTTTGTGTGCAGTCAACGTTCTACTGTCTTCATTGGATGATAAGCCTGAACAGCACCCCCCGGAAGCACCAATCAGAAATAGTAGTGATTCTCGCTACCCGGATGTCCAAGAAAACATAGCATCATCTGATTTGGGTAATGAAGATGCTCTTTTGGACCCTGAGGGCTCAGCTTCTTTTTCGCCCAATGAGGTCTTTACGGGACTTCAAGTTATGACAGATCCGGCGGGGTATATTTTAAATTTGGTCAACGAAGTACTCATTGGTGCTCAACAGAGAGGGGAGTTGGGTTTAACAGAGCCTATAGTTAACCATGTAGTTTCCCTTTTGGAAGAGCTACCACGTGTTGTAAGTTCTAGCAATCATCTACTGTCAGAAGCATTACAAGTGGCATATCGATGGAGCAGGATGATGGGAAATAGTGATCAGATGTCACCGCTTGAAGCTTGGGGTTTTCTGCAACTCATTGTGGTGTATGACTTGGTGCATAGAACAAGTCGAGAATATAGGTTACGATTTGCCATGTATGTTGTTGATTTCAAACAGGCTCCGAAACTCTTTGAATCTCTTGGTCTTCGTTATGCTATCCAAGGTAAGTTTTACTTCTGCAACACATTGTTGTTTGTGTTTTTTTTTTTTTTTAAACAGTTTCTTTCTTGCATTTGTGATACTCGAAAGATTGATGAAGTATGTTTTATTCTTTGTTTTATCTTTTCAGACTTGGTCAAACAATTCCTAGTCGAAGGTCGTTATTTTCGGGCAATCCGGTTTATACTTTATTTCAACATGAAGTGCCAATTTTCTCCTAGGCAGTTTTTAAAAGAAGAGATCATAAATCTTAGACGCTGTGCCAAGGATAAGAGAAGACTTGATTCGCAGGTTAAAGCTTGCTTCTGATCCATATCTTCCTGAAATTTATATTCCATTGTCAATGATGGTTTATATATATACTCTATGTTGTCTTCTAGGCTGAAGACAGAGATGGTGCAAAACTGCGAGACATAATTGCACTCATCGAAGACTTCGAGCTGGAAATCGATCTTCCTGTGGAACTTATCGTCAAATTCATGGTTCCGCGGGAAATTCAAAGCCAGAATCAATATGCGGTCTCATCATTTGTCCCAGTTCAACCTCCGCAGGTTTCACACACAGTCATTCACAGCTCATTTATCACCAGTCATGGCTCAAACCAAACCTTTCCAACAAGCCTTGGTGGATCACCAAATCAACAACAAGCCCTAGACTTGGAAACATATCAAGCTGGTGGTTCAACTGTGTCCCATGGTCAATCTTCACACCAGGCTGGTTTTAAACGTCCAAGGATTGATCCTCTGGCTTCTAGACCTGTGATTAGACGTTGCTTCAACCCATCAAGCTATGGCAGCAGATTCTAGTCGAACTCTAAAGCTAGTATAGTTAGAAATAAGTAAAATGACAAGATATAGTTTTGTATTTTGGTCTAGATGGGTTTATGGTTAATAGCTCTTAATCTCTTGTAAATTAAAAAAAAAATCAATATGGAGAGGAAACATCCTCAATTCCTCATGTTTCAGTATGCTTTTATTCCTAATGACCTCTTCTTACATATTATATGTAACGATTATAGAAGCATAACGTGTGTATTAAGTATTAACATTGTTATTTTGTAATATATGCAGAAGAAGATGAAGTATATGATGGTGAAGATTTGACATTAGCTTATGAAGAATGAGACTGAGTTTAGTTTAGTTTAAGATTTACTAAGAATTGAAAGTTTGAGTTGAGTTAAGATTGAGATCGAGTTAAAATGATATCTATAAGGAATTAAGGATTCATCCACCTTGATTACAACATTTTTTCTATTGCGCCTATAATTTATATTTCTGTTAATATCTTACATGTTTCTATTTATGGTTCTTACAGAAATACAATGCATATATGTATATATATATATATGTGTAGCTTTTTCTCTCTTCTCATGATGTCACCTAAGCATCCACATAAACTGCATTTTTTCTACATTAAAATAAATTTAAAACATTCATTTAGTGCATATTTATACTACTTATTTGATTAATAGAAAATTTATATAAATAAAAATAAATTATGTAAATAAATGAAATGTTAAATAAGAAATACTTTCATTTTATATTAGTTAGTGGTAATAATATAATTCAACTTTCATGTTAAATTGATCATAGTTTAAAATTTTAAATGTGTTACTGACTTTAAAAATGTAAGTAAATTTTCAATTTATGGTAGAATAAAAACAACATTTATGTAATTGTACATATAAAATCTTAAAGGGGAAAAATAAAATTGAAAGTGAAATATTAGTTTATAACATGATAAAAAGAAAATGATTTTAATCCAAATTTAAATATTGAAAGATAATAATTCAAGAGAAAATAACTATAATATGTTTTGAAAATTAATTAAAAATAAATAAAATATCACAATACGAATAAAAAAATTAAAAAAATATATATAAACCTCCCGCGCGCAGAGCGGGTCAACTGCTAGTATATATATATATCTAGCTCATATTTCAATTGGACATGTAGATTGTATCCGGTATTTCATATGGAATCATAAAACCATAGAAAGAATGTTTTTTTTTGTTGACCGAACCATAAAAGGAATTCAGTCACTACTAATTTGTATTTTTATTTAAGTATTAATGATAATTATGTTTAATTTTATTTAGTATAGGAACTAATAGTTTTTTTTTTGTATAGATTTCTTTTTGTAATTGGTTTAGAACTTTTACATTTTGTATTTTAAAACATCTTAATAAATTTAGAATTGTTACATGTCAACATCTTATCGATCCAATTAATTCGATTGTGTTAATAACCAAAACCAAATTTTATATAATAAAATATATCTCCAAAAATCATACACTCTAGTGATAATACAAAAAGTTCTTCTTAAGGCAGTGAGGTGTATTTTTCCCAATTATATATATTACCATATTTTAATTATTTTAATTAAAAAATGGGTAAGAAAAAATTAAGGAAAAATAATAAAAATCACCCTAAAGCTGAAATATTATCATTATCAAACATTCAGGCGCCGAGAGAGAACAATAAAGCACAAAGTGAAGAATTCAAAGTTCTTTGATTTTTTTTTGTTTTGTTTTGGAGATTTGTGGTGAAACTTATTAGGGTTTGTTAGTTAATGAGAGTAGCTTGATGGAGAAGGTAACGAGTGGTTTGGAGCTTGTTAATGTAAGCAAGCGTAACTTCCGAAAAACCCTAGAATCTATCCAAGAAAGTGCTCATTCGGTTCTTCTACTTACGATTCAATGGAAAGAGATCGAGTCTTATTTCGATTCCACAAGGAGCGTCCTCGACGAGCGAGCCAAGGAGCTTGATTTGCTTGAGGAATCCATAAAGGTCCGAGCTTTGGAATTGGAGAAGAAGGAGAAGGAGGTTTTTTCGAAACAGAGCGATTTGGAGAAGAAGGAGAAGGAGTTCGATTTGGAGAAGAAGGAGAAGGAGTTTGATTTGGAGAAGAAGGAGAAGGAGCTTGATTTGCTTGAGGAATCGATAAAGGTTCGAGCTTTGGAACTGGAGAAGAAGGAGAAGGAGGTTTTTTCGAAACAGAGCGATTTTGAGAAGAAGGAGAAGGAGTTTGATTTGGAGAAGAAGGCTGAGGTTGAGAAGAAGAAGGGAGAGGTTGAGCAGTTGGAGAAGTTTACGACTAGAATTGAATCGGTGGAGAGGTTCTCTGATGAGAAGTTGATGGAACTCGATGTGAGAGCGAAAGAGCTTGAATTGAAGGTGAAGGAAGTAGAGGAACAGAGAGAACAGAGTATCGCCGGAGAAGATAAGTTTAGAGGTGAGTTTGAGCCATTGGTTTCGTTGTTGGCTAAGAACATGGGCTCAAGTGTGACAATGCCCACAAAGTGTTCGGCTTTATACCTGAATGACAATGCAAAAGAGTTTGCGGATGATTTGGTTAAGAAAAACACGGGCTTGGCGAGAATGGTTCCATATTTGGATCCGGCTAAGTTTGTTTTGGATGCTATAGATGAGACTTTTAAGGAATACTTGAATAAAGATTTAGGAGAAGCTGGTGATAGAGTTGATAGTGTAGTTAAGAGTTGCATTGATATGTTAGATACGTTGATAAAGATGAATCTGAAAATGACAACGAAGGTAAAAGAGGAAGCGACTCAACTTGGGGTTGTCTGGATTGCCAAGGCTAAAACCAACCAGAACAATAGCTCGATGGGTTTAGGTTGCTTGTTGTTTCTTGCTGCTTATAGTTTGGCCTCTCTGACTACTCGTGAGGTGCTCTTTACACTTTTAGAGCGGTTCCTTTCGTATGATCAGGCCCCGAAACTGTTTCGGCTTCTGGGGTTAGAAAATAAAGTTTCTGGTAAGGCTTGCTTCTTGTTTTAGACTGATTAACAGTAGTTGTTGTCCACAAGTCTGTAACTTCATGTTAAATTCCCTGCAGGTGTGGTTGAAACTCTGAAAAAAAGAGAAGATTATCTCACAACACTGAAATTTATCTGTGAATTCCGGTTATACAAGCTTTGTCCCGCAGGACGGCCAGGAGAATTTTTGCTTGATTTCTTGATTTCCTCAGATAAAGCTGCCCGAGTGATTGCTGGGACTGGAAATTCAATTGAGGCACAGGTAATCTAACCACTCTCTCTGTGCTCTATTCAATCTGGCTTATGATGTCTGTTCTATACAATCTGGCTTATGATGTGTGTTCTATATAATCTGGCTTATGATGTGTGTTCATGTCTGATGTAAGTTAATTAAGCTTGTTGACTTGTTGTAGAAAGCAAGAAGGGAGAAGAGAAGAGCTGATGCAGTCATGGCCCTTAAGTACATCAAAGAGGCGAAAGCCGAGTCCATGTTTCCTGCTAAAATTCTTAAAAAGCTGACTGCACTGAAGAATGATGAATCAGTTCAGAAAGCAATGGAACCAGTTCGTAAAAGTTATGAAAAAGGACAGAGTACAACCAAAGCTGTAGGGAAACCTGATGCTCAATCGATTAGTCCGCATGAACATAACACTGCAGCCAAACGTCAAAGATTAACTGAACCAATAGCTCCTCCTCAGAATTCAACAGGTATCTTCTTGATTCCTGTATCAATCTTGCTCTTGAATTAAGAGCTCGACCTTACTTATCTATGCCATTTTTTTTCACTAACTTGCACTCACTTAACATGTGGGTTTTGAGTCATGAAATTTACATAAAATTGCCTCTATAAGCTCTTTAGTGGGGTCTCGAGTCATAAATTCGATCAGAACATTGTTCTTTTGTTTGACATAAGTAATCAACCTTAAATTGACAGTTTTCTTATTCCTTTAGATCATCCAGTGAAGCGGGTCGAGGTTGTGTCCATTCCTTCTGGGAATCAGATTAAAGAATCCGGAGTAAATCATCAGCCAGACACCATAGCAACTCATCCATCAAGTACTGAAACCAAGCCCAACGTCCTCCCTAGTTTCATTACCGCAGACATGTTAAGGGAGCTAGTAAACAAGCAACCTCTAAACGAGAGTGAGGATCTCTCCAATGCTCTCAAATGCACACCAGATCCAGCAAAGATTTTTCTTGACACATCCATGGCTCTGTGTGCTACAAATGCTGAAGGGGGATACGAGTTCAAGCTTCTGGTTACTTCAGCTAGCTGCTCCGTATTGTTGAATCAGCTGAAGAAGCTCATGCCTCAAATTGGACATCCTGTGAAAGGCGATGCGAAAAAACTTGCTATTTACTGGAAAGATAAGATTTTGAAGTGCAAAAGGGATGAATTGGAAGTCATTTGTTTCCTACAGTTTCTGGGTATCTTTGGAATTGTGTCAGAGTTCAAGGCTAATGACCTTCTAGGTCTACTAGACAATTCTTATTGGCAAAGTGTATCTCCTGATCTTTGCCAGTTTCTCGGGTTGGACAACGCCATGCCAGGTGATTCCTTTTTCAATGCTCTCCCGCTATTGCAAACCGCTAGGCCTTAAGATTAAATTGATGAATTGGATGCCTTCTTTTGAAAATGTTTGAACTCTATGAACTTGTTTAATCGGTTTACATATGTCATAGTACTGTAGAGTTCATTTGGCTTTGTTTCAACAGGTTTTATTCAAAATCTCATTAAAACTGGGCACCGTATCAAGGCAGTCGACTACATATACTCATTTGGTATGGTCCATAGATTCCAACCTGTTTCCGCTATTATAAACGATTCGTTGAGGATCACAAAGGAATCTGCAGAGAAGTCATATAGAGACGCCAAGAACGAATCTGCAACTCAGGTAAAACTTCAGCCGTTTATTTGTTCTTAACTTCTTATATCACAATAAAACTATTAAAGAAGATTGTTGTAACACAAAACATGCATTATAGGTTGCAGCCATAGACAGACAGATCAGAACACTTAGAGCAGCCATTAAATGCATAAAGTGTCACAAACTCGAATCAGAGTTCCAGCTCGAGAACCTGGAGGAACAAATCAAGTCGCTTCTGAAGCTTAGAAGAAACACAACTAATAACGGATCCCCATCCAAACCCGATTTGACAATCCAACAATCCCAGACGGAAATACCACCAAATGTAACAGCAGAGGTTGCTTCGGGAACTCGCAACACACCTTTGGAACCTTCAATCCAAGCTGCTTCCTCCTGCGCGAGCAAACCGTCTTCGGCTAAGAAGAATAAGAGAGGCAAAAAACGCAGCCTGTCAGGAAACAATCAGAACTCAGGACATGTTGCTTCACACACAAGCAATCACTTTCCCAGCCATGACTATTCCTTGAATCAAAGACAAACTTGGCCGGTCGACAACTACGACAGAGGGTTCACGGGGATTCCTAACTCCGAATACCATTATAACCCGTGGAGACAACAACCAGAGGAACCCCAAGTTTACCAAGTTTATCAACCTTTGAATCCTTTCTACAGGAGATACTAGCCACTGCTTGCTTTTAGGTTCTTGGAGGATTGAAGTACTGTATCTTGCTTTTTTTTCCTTGGTTTCTTTTTGCTTTCTTTAGTTTGGACAAAACAAAACTTTACTCTTCTAATCTAGAGTGCATCGTTTTGCTTGTGTATGTACTATTTAGGTCACAATGTGAAATTTGTTCTATATATATGTGGAAAGCAAATAAATGGTACACATTGAGATTTTATAACTAACTAGTTTAGTACCCGTCCGATGGACGGGTTATCTTTATTTAAAATTAAATTGAAATTATAATTTATTATAACTTATAAAAAAATAATTTCCAAACTTTTGTTTGAATAAATAAGAGAAATTAATTTCATTTGGAAAGAGATTTTATTTGCTTTGAAGTATCAAATAAACGTGTATATATATATATATGTATATATATACATATATCTCTTAAAATTCGATATTAAACGTTAATTATAAAAATCTAGTAATGTCAAATTGACAATCACCAAACATTTTGGAGCTATTCACCATTACTCATAATATTGCTAAAATATTTTTAAAAATCTTAATTTAGCAATTATCCTCTAAAACATGATTATACCATTTTGTAAAAAAGTTATTTCTTAACTTTAAATTTTTTTCAAAAAATCATTCTCACACTATGAAAATTAATTAATTATTATTTAATATGATGGTAAAGTTCTTTCAAATTAACATCAATCTAAAATATGAGGTTAAATATAAATATAGTCATTTGTAAATAAATTCATATAAACAACGCAAATAAACACCAAGATTCTAAAATAAATTATAGCATCGTTGAAGAAAACATTAAAAAATCTTTCAAATACGAATTATAAAAAACTACATATTTTCTTTAAAATATTTTAAAATTACTATATTACGATTTATATTGAACTTTGTTATCTTTAATTTAAGCTAAAAATATTATTTTCGAAAATATTTTATTCACCCTTATGTTTTAGACAATGAAATTGCTCAATGGCATAATACATTCATACATAAATTAAAATTAAACAAATATAACATATTATAAAATAAAAATCATGAATAAAATTATGTATTTAGTTAAACTCAAAATATAATTTATTTGTAAACTGTAAATCCTAATTCTCCTTTATGAACCCAAACTGATAAATAACCTTGTTTAGTTGTAAAACCTAAATCTCACTCCTCTTTAATAAACCCAAACCGATAAATAATCTCGTTCAATTATAAAATCTAAACTATAATGCAGATTTATAAACTCAACATATAACCCTTATTATTGTAAAACCTACAACTGGCAAAACCAAAAATTAGGTTAATAGTTGAAAGAGATTTTTGAGAAATACCCCTTTTTAAAAATACACCAATTTTCTATCCATTTTAAAAATATCCCTTTTCAAATATGAAAATTGTAAACTTTTATATAGTTTATAAGGTACATCTAGATTATTATTACTATTGGGAGACTCAATACAAATATTTATAAAGTTTTAAAAAGGTTCTAAACGGAATTTATAAGACTTTTATAAGGTTTTTATAAGGTTTAAAAAGGTTTTCTATGTTTTTTAAATAATTTTTAAAAATTTAAAGGTATTTATATGGTATTTAAATTTACACACATAGAAAGATAATTTGTGTCTAAATATATAAGCTTACACATTTTGTTTTTATAAATATCAATTTTTTATACTTTTTAATCATCAAAAATACCCTTTTTCCATACCACTTTTTAAAAATACCCCTATTTCAAACGTTATAAAAAAAACCACTTTAAATGTTGAAATTTATCCAATTATGTGTGAAAACTTATAAATATACACAGAAATTACCTTTATATATGTTTAAATTTTTATATATCTTTCATAAATAGCTTAAAATAACTTATAAATACCTTTTAAAAACCTTATAAACCCTTTTAAAAACCACTTAAAAATCTTATAAAACTTATAAAATAAAACCTTTTAAAACAATATAAAATATTTGTACCAAATTTCCAAGTAGTAGTTATTATATAGAAGTGCCTTATAAACCATATAAAACTTTATAATTTTCATATTCAAACATAGATATTTTTGAAAATGGATAGATAAATGACGTAAATTTGAAAAGGAGTACACCAAAAGGGGTATTTCTCAAAAATTCTATTTAATTTTTTATAATTATTTTTTAATGTTGTTTAAAAATTCTATTTGTATCTTAATATTAACAAAATTATATATAACATGTTGCGACATCTTATGCTTTTACTTGACACTTATCATGATCACGTGAGTTAGTAAATTTAAAAACCAAGTTTCGACATATAATCTCGTTTAATTGTTAAACTTAAACCATAATTTTAATTTATAAAGATAAACCATAATTCTTATTTATCATTTATATACCCAAACCAACAAATAACTTTATTTAATTGTAAAATTAAAGTTTAAACCTTAATCCTCTTCTGTAAACAAAAACCGCCATATATTCTTGTTAATTATAAACTTTAAATCCCTATCTTATTAATAAACCAAACTGACATAACTGAAATTAGGTTATTTGTTTAATTTTATTAATAATTTTTAATATATAATTCTTTATAAAATATATTTTATATATTTCCTTTTTCGATAGGGTTAATAATATTTATATTTTATCCAAATATTAACAAAAATAGTTACGCCACGTGTCAACATCTTATCGTTTATAATTGACACGTGTCACGATCTTGTTAATGGCTGACTTTGAAAACCAAGGTTTATATAATAAGATGGTAACGAAATAGTTCTTCTAGCTTAAATATCCATCGGCGTTGTGAAACAGTAAGAAATGGATTAGTAATCTCAAACCAAAGATCCATCGTAAACCTAGGATTTAAGTAAACCTCACGCCAAAGATGGTTAGAGAAAGAGAAGAACTATCTTAGAAGCGAGTTAGTTTGATAATGGAGGATGGTGTAGTGACGGCGCACAGAGAGATAGAGAGGGAAGAAGATAAGATGAAGAAGATATGTTTTTCAATAAGTTTTGTTGAAATGGCTAAATGGCTAAATGCCTTACAAATACTCAGTTATATCAGCCGTAAACTCACGAAACGACGGTCCCGTCATTGCCACGATGTCGGCTGACTTATCGCCGTTAAGTGGATAACTGACACCGTTTCGGTATATGTTGATTTTGCCTGGTTTTATATATTTAGGATGAGAATTTAAATTTTGTGTAAGTTTAGGTTACTATTTGCTGGTTATCGTAATTTGGGTATAAAAATACCGTCATCAAATAGTCTGGATTGATTTTCGCTATTTTTTCTTTGGTGGACCAATACAAGAAATCTAATATTGGATATGAGACTGAGAGCCTTTACTCAACTCATATCTACTAAAACGACACCGTATCCTTCACAATTTTTTCTGTATTCAAAAACACTAACCCTTCCCCTCGTATAACTCGACTCCGACACAAAACACTCGATTCCACACGATTCCGCCATTGTTGGTCAAGGAATTGAGCTTTACATTGTCCATTTCTCGAAGTTGGTTTCACGGATTGAAATCGCTGCAGTCTCACGAAGCCACCATTCTCGTTTCACATCTGACAGGTAAAGATTAAATCTTTTCCCGATTCTATTAAAGCCTCTCTCTGTTTGTGGAAATTTAAAAACTTTATTTTTAAAAAAACAAAAAAAAAAACAAATAAGTAGAGAAATGAGATCGTTTCGAGCCTTTTCAGTTCCACCCTTTTTTGAAACACTGAGCTCATGAACCCTAATTCCCACATCCTGAATACTAGAGAGCAAATCTGACTGATCTTTGATTGTGTCTTACCTAATCCGACAGAACATTCTTGTGATTCGGTTTCTTCCTGTTTGAAGTTGATTTATCAAGGTCGTCGTTATAAAGCTTCGATTTTTATTTTTATTTTGTTCTAGGGTTTTAGTGTAGTTTCTATGAATCGATTAGGGTATTATTACTTTTCATTGGTGCTCCCTAAATTGTATAACTTTGAGTATAATGACTATTTGCTAACGACAGCTATGGATTTTTGTGTGTTTCAGGAATGAGATATTGGTTCATTTGATGTCTTTGTTGTTCTGATTTCTGAAATTTGAGCTGTTTGAAGATAATTTCTTGGTTGAGAAATGGAATGCAATAAGGAAGAGGCCTTAAGGGCGAAAGAGTTAGCTGAGGATAAGATGAAGAATGGTGATTTCGTTGGTGCTCTGAAGCTTTTGTTAAAGGCTCAGTGTCTCTTCCCAGGTCTTGAGAGTTTACCACAAATGATAGCTGTGTGTGATGTTCATAAGTCTGCTGAGACGAAAATCAACGGTCTTGAGAATTGGTATGGTATTCTCCAAGTTATGCATTTTGCTGATGATGCTACGATCAAGAAGCAGGTCAGGAAGCTTGCCTTGCTTCTCCATCCTGATAAAAACCAGTTTCCCGGTGCAGAGGCTGCTTTTAAATTGGTTTGGGATGCTAGTAGTTTTCTCGCTGACAAGGATAAACGGTCTCGGTATGATATTAAGCGCAGAATCTATTTACGGTTTGCTAGTAAAGATTCGACTGCAAACTCTGGTGTACAACGTCCAGCTGCAAACAGTGCTAGTGATAGTGCTATTAGCAATGTTACATTTTGGACACGTTGTGAGCATTGTGGCTATAGGTATAAATACTTGAGAAAATATGTGAACACTGTTCTGCATTGTACCAGTTGTCAAAGAACTTACATGGCCTACGACACTGGATTTAATGCACCACCACCTAAACCAAGTACTGGTCAAACAGAAGTTCGAAATCAAGGGCCATGTAACACATCTGCTGAGGTCGAAAAGAAAGTCCAACCAGGAAGTGTAGCAGCTGAGGTCGAAAAGAACGAATCTTTCAATGAGAATATCAACAACAAGAATGGAGGAGGTGAGAGCAAGAAATTTGAAGTAAAAGAATCCAGAACAGAGGCTGAATCCATGAAGAATTATGATGTATCAAGTAATGAAGGAAAGATGAAGAGTGCAGCTAAACTAAACAAGCCACAACCTAAGGTTACAGAACCTGAAAGAGGTGCATCAAAATCTGTACCTGATGAGTCAGTTTCAAGGAGTGATAAAGCACCCTCTATGAGCAAGGACAAGAACAAGAGAAAAAAATGTGTGGAGGACCCCATTGAGATTATTAATGTTGATGCCTCTGATATTATTAAGGATAAAGCGGATTCAAAAGATAGTAATAAGAGGAAATCTCCAAGGAGAAGCCAACAGAGTTCTCACGCAGTGGAGGTAGGCAGTGATGATTTCCTAAGCCCTCCAAAAAAAAGGTCAAAGTCAAAGTCAAACAGTGGATTGAAATCTGAGCAAACTACGAAGAAAGGATTCGGCGGTGTTGGTTCATCTAAACGTCTTGATTCTGGTGGTTCATGTGCCCCTTCATGTGTGTTAGGAAAAGCTAAGAAAAATGTGGATTCTGGATATCCTGAAATCTCATCAACCAAATACAAAGATCATGACGGATGTGAAGCAAATGGAGAAAGGGTGGTTATGGCTGGAAAGATGGACAGTAACCACAATGCGAACGAAATGCTTATTACAGAGGATTCACCTGATCCAGAGTTCAGTAATTTTGAACTGACAACAAACTGTTTTGCTGTCGACCAGGTGTGGTCTATATATGATTCGATTGACGGTATGCCTCGGCTGTATGCTCGGATAAAGAAAGTGTTGGATTCTGAGTTCAAGATGTGGATTACGTGGATTGAGCCACTACATGATGTCAAAGAGAACTCTATTCCCATTGCTTGTGGGATCTTTCGGGATGGGGATACAGACGAAGAAAACGACCACTTAAAATTTTCTTGTCAGATGTTTCACTTAACTCGCAACAATAGCACCGTCATATATCCAAGAAAGGGGGAAATTTGGGCAGTTTTCAGACGCTGGGATATCAGTTGGAGTGCTACCTCAGAAAATCATAAACAGCCTTATGAATATGACTTTGTTGAGATTCTGTCTAATTTTAAAGATGAGATTGGCCTTGGAGTGGCCTATCTGGGAAAAGTGGAAGGGTTTGTCTCCCTCTTTCACCAAGCTGCACAAAATGGAATTCTCCAAATTCAAATTCCGCCAAGTGAGATGCTTAGGTTTTCGCATAAAGTGCCGGCATTCAAAATGACTGGAAAGGAGAGAGAAGGTGTTCCTCCTGGGTGCTTCGAATTAGATACTGCTGCTTTACCAAAACAATTGTTTGAGATTGATTATTCAAAAGCTGATGTTGTGTTGAATAGAGAAAGGCCGGATGGTAAAACTATTGGTCCTTTTCCTGAAGCTTCCAAGGTTAAAATGCAGGCAAATACTACTCCAGAGAGCAGTCCACTGGGAAAAAAACGTCCAAAAGTCCATGACAAGCATGTTTCATTCTCCAATGAATCTGATGGTAGACGTACTAATCATGAAATGAACTCAGTGAAGAAGACCAGAAAGAGTGTCAAAGCAGTAGATGGCTTGAAACTGCGAAAATCTCCTCGTCTATTGAGTCAGACAAAAAATCAAGTAACTTCACGGTCAGGTCGAGAAATAGCTGAGAAGATGACTACCCCAAAGAAATCTGAGAAGACTACCACAATGGATTCCTCAAGAACGAGAAAATCACGTCGGGATATATACAAACTGACAGGGAACCTAAAGAAACATGGGAGAAATGATGATTCATTGTCTGAGTCCAGGGGTAATGGTTTACTGACTCAGTTAAATGGTAGTGCAAAAGGCCCAGAACCAGTGACTCATGTGCCATCCAAACCCGAGGAAGAAAACCATTTTGACTTCGAGAGCCAGAGATCTTGGGACAAATTTCAGATTGATCAAGTATGGGCCGTTTATAGCAATGACAAAGGGATTCCCAGAAAGTATGCTCAGATCAAGAAAATCGACACTATCCCTGAATTCAAGTTACATGTAGCTCCTCTAGAGCTGTATCGCCCTCCAACACACATGCCACGACCTGTGTGCTGTGGCCGCTTCAAATTGAAGACCGGTAAAGCAGAAGTCCTTCTACCTAGCAGCTTCTCACATCAGGTTCAAACTGTGAAGAGTAAAAGGAGCAGATTCGAAGTATACCCAGGAAAGGGTGAGATATGGGCTCTGTACAAGAACTGGAACACCACAGATAACGCCGAGACTGAAGAGCTTGAGATTGTTGAAGTAGTGGAAACCGACGAGCAGAGGATAAAAGTGATGCCTTTGCAGTCAAAGGAGTTTAACAACAAGCCTCTCTACGAAAGAACTCAACAGTCAAATGCCACTTCTGTAGACATTTCAAAGACCGAAGTGTGTCGATTCTCGCATCAGATTCCTGCGTTTAGGCACGAGAGAAGAGTGTCTCGGTTCGGAGATGGTGCATACTGGGAGCTTGACGTTAAAGCAGTTAGGGGTCTCAACTCAGAGAACGCATAGGTCTCTCTTTGTTTTGTGAAGTCGCACATATATTTATCTAGTTGGGACATAATTGGGGGAATGTGACACTAATAAGTTGGAATTTATGTATTTAATTTAACATTAAGGGGGGGATAGTGGATCTGTGATTTGGATGTATTTAGATACTTTTAAATTTTAGGGAATTTAGAGAGATTTTAGGGAATCTCATGATTTATAAAGTGATTTCAACAAACTCTGTAGAATTTTAGTTACAAATATTTAGTGGTAATTAGTAGAATTTTAAGGCATTTGAGAAAGTTAAAAATAAAATAAAATTGATTTTCATAAAACTAAAAATTGTTTTAGAATTTTTACCAAAAAAAAAAAAAATTGTTTTAGAATAACACATTTCAACGACTTCTCACATACCGGCCATTGTATTGGCTTCTTTCTCCCACAGCCCTTTGTACTATGAGTCTATAAAACTCACATTTTATTTACTCAGCAATGGAAGTAAG